CCATTAAATTCCGGTTGTAATACCACTTTTATTCATTTTTGTTAATTTTTTTTTTTCACACTGCTCTTTTTCTTTCCGTTTATATTTTTCCTATTCCTTCCTTTCTTCCTCCCTCTATCCTTTCCTCCCTTTCTTTCCTTCACTCTGGAGATGATATGAAAGGCGGAAAACGTGGGAGTTGGGATTATCAAGAAGGCGGAAACGGGCGAAACAGATAAAAATGCGACGGATCAAGACCGACCAATTACCACTGACCTACGCTACTTGAGTCTTACAGCGAACAACATCACAGCAAAACTGACCAATCAGGTTATCGACCCGGACTTAACACATTCGACTGACAACAAGTATTCACTTCACTCTGATGATGACTTCCGCTCATGTGGTCGAAACGTCAGTCACCACTACCGACAACACTTCTCGTCAGGATTACACTCACCCGGAAGATCAAACTACGCCATTTCATGTTATCCCCGAGTTCAAACCATTTACTGTAATACTCTCTTAACTACCGCAAGGTAAGTGTGATAATTTATATAGAACAGTCAAGTGTTTAGGCCTGTGGCTTTTTTAACAATAACAGCTACTGTGAGTGTGATTTTTCTTCTCCATGTGCTATTTTAAATTTACTACCGTTGAAACGGGATTAAACTCGTTTATTGTAGCATAGGAAAATAAACAGCAATAGGTGGCCGCCTATTTATTTAACGCAGGTAATAACATTGCCGACCTTACTTTAAGTGTTACTAGTCATCTCGTTCTTAGTCCTTTCGTGCCCAGTTTGATCGACTCGTGCCCATACTAATACATCAAGGTCGGTTTCTTATGTGTAATACACATACCAATATTACCTGCATCAAATAAGTTTTGTTTACGTGACGTTGTCACAGCGTTTTTGGTATCCCTGCGTTTTGGTATCCCTGTATCCTGCTATACTAGACACGAAGACTGTAGTTGGAAAGTACTATTCTTATGCATAGTTCACATGATTGTGATCTTCTGCATGTGTTAAAGATAAGAATAAGAACTATGTAGGTCATGTAAACCGGAAACCACGGAAACCAGTTTTCCAACATATGAAATTGGACGGGTTTCACCAGAGACTTGGAAATTCCCTCCTCTAAATCCTTTAATGACTATGAGGGTGCAAAAACAATTTATTTGGATTTGTTGTATACAAGTGTGGAGAATGGCCATCATCAATCTGGGAAGGGATACCCCGGCCTTATCAACGAGGATTAGGCGTCTTCTTTTAATTCTCAATCGAAAAAAGCAACAATATTCGTTTTTACCAAATTTGTTTGCTGTAATGTACGGTAGCTAAAAGACAACAACAACAATGTTGATAGGTGACATATGACAGGTGCTGACTAAGAACTTGGTTTGTATGTTAGAAGGGATACCAATATCATCATTAATATTTTGCATATTAGAAGATAGTCATATCAGTGAGGATTTAGGTATCCCCTCTTTTTCTAAGCTTGGAGGGTAGAACAACATTCTCCTCCCCAGTAAAGCTGATGGTGAGATTTTGCAAAAAAAAAATATTGGATATCACTTTGAGTGTTCTGGAATGGGAATGCCGAAACCTTTAACTTTTTGGGTTGGGGGATACCAAAAACGCTGCGATAACGTCCATTTATGTGGCCATCCAGGTCATAATTAGTATGCAAACTTTTATCTGTTGTACTCTCCGAAACCCATCTACAAAAATCTATTCACAAAGATTTTCGAAAGCGTTCTTTTTTCTTCGCGATTACTTTTTACTAGTAGCTATTACTGCGTTTTTATTTACGAATAAACTTTAATTCTACATTTCCTACTTAAAGTAAATTCTTGCTGTGCGTTTGTTGTGGTGAATGATACACAAGCAATGTCCACATTTTTATTTGAAAAATTTATTTTACGTGCAGTAGTCACATGGTGTAATGAAGTTAATCTGGCAGACGCAGATTAAAATTGGCAGCCTGTGTCCTTCGTTGTAAGTTCTACAGGATTAATTGGTCGTTTCCGAAAGTAAAACTGTAAAAATTTTGCATTGTAATTTTTACCCTGATAACGCTCTACCTGAGAGTAAAATTTTGACAACCGACCGAATAAATGCATTTGTCAGCAGAAACTATGTCAAGTTATCACGCTAACTCAAAACTAAAGAAAGGTAGAGGGAAAATTGAAGTATCTACAGTTGAAATAAGGAATACTAAGTAATTATTGGATGAGGTTGAGCATGAGATCATGAATTATCAACGCCGAGGTCTGAGTTATGTGCCAAAGCCGAAGGTGTAATGATTCACGATGTCATGCAAAAATCAAATTCAATAATTGTTTATTACATATTTTTTGAACAATATGCAAAAGAAGACACCTCCCTGAATGAACACTGCAGAGACGAGGGGCTTGAAGTGCGAGACTTTGAACTCGACATGATAACCCAATATCTGCCACACCCAAATGTTTGAAACAAAACGATAACCGTGAGTAGCATCAACATATCGAAAAGGAGGGTTTCACCATTTTCCATCATGAAGAGGGCGAAAATAAGATGAATGTCTAGAAATTTAATTTTTTCGTAACTTCTTCAAAGACTTAAATTCTCTTACTTTCTTCTTGACCTTGAAGATATTTATTTTTCCCTGTCTTTTCCTGACCCGTACCACAACCATGGTATTTTCTCTTATGATTGGAAGTGAAAAGAGGTCAAAATTGCAATAATCATGCAGCCAGCATTATACTAAATGGTCATCAAAGGTGATAAAAATTTCCTATATCTTCACGTGCATATACTCAAATGCAAACGCAAAAAGAATAACAAGAGTGAGCTCTTAATTAAAAGGGAAAGAGCTTTAAGTCGCTGTTAAAGAAAATGAAAATCTTATGAAAGAACGCATTTTATTCAGAGGACACGAACGGTGATTCGTAGCTGATTTCAGAGCCGAGAGAACTATGTTACAATCGAGAAACTTAAGAAAATAGGGGTATTTATCGATTCTCAAAGGAAGACCACTGCACAAAAGCACATTGTAAGAGTACAACAAATTGAAGCAGCCGATAACATCGAGCTACCGCCAAACAGATCAATAAACCAGTTTCCCGTGTCATCCGGAGCGCTGTCTTCTTTAAGTTCCTTTCGAAAAGGTGAATGCTTGATGAGCTCCTTGTTGCACAAGTCACTATGACACCATTTTACGCATGTATTTCCATGACATCCCGCTGGTTTATGCCAGTCACGGCCACAGCCCATGTTCTTTATCCTTCCATGGTATTCAAAGAAGCAAGCGTTCTCATAATTTTTACATTCCTGGGGCGAGTGTGCGAGACAAGCGGATAGATCTTGCCGCTCATGGGGTGGACAAATGTGGCAGCGAAGCAAGAGGCCTGAAAGTAAAATAACGCAAAGTCCAAGAACAGCTCCACCAACATGGAAATGAAAACATCAAAAATGAAATAAAACGAGAAAGACTTGACAGCGTTGTTGTAAGGAAACACCACCATCTAGAAAAGCTACCTTTGGGAAATACCCATGTTTGAAATCCCACTCAGTACTAAAGATTAGCGGATTGAAGGATAAAATCTGACAGAATTACCACAACAGTTATTGTTAAATTATAAAGTCAAAGCTAGTGAATAAATAGCCAGGAAACCAATTTAGCTAAAAGTGTTCACACAGAATTACCACAACAGTTATTGTAAAATTATACAGTCAAAGCTAGTAAGTAAATGGCCAGGAAAATATCATGGGTTATATGCCCAACATCAAGAGACCTATCCTAAATATACACAGAGTGCCATAAATTTTTAATTTAAGAAGAGACATAACTTTCATGAAACTATCCATAAATTTTCCACGTAATTAATTAAAAATAACATGATTATTTACGTG